TTTGGTGTTTTTGAGACAAGGTTTTGCTATGCAGTTCAGGCTGGCCTGGGACTCACTTTGTAGCCCAGGCTGGCCTCAAATTTGCAGTGATCCTCCTTCCTCAGTCTCCTGAGTGCTGGGATCACAGGCATGTGCTACCACGCCCAGCCTGGACTAAATGGCTTTTTAGAAGCACATGTATTCTTCATGTACTTCACTCCTTAAAGTTAAATGTTGATATGTACTCAGGAAGAGTAGGCAGGGTCTACATAACTTTTAAAATTGTCTTTTAAGAAAATAGGGGATGTAAAGTTAAATCTTGCTTTTATTAATTTATTTTCATAAAATCACCCATGTAGACCCTCAAAGTAGAAACCACTTTGACTTGGATTTATTGACTGGTTTTAACTATTTCTTTAAACCATTGTAGTATATAGCAGTATTTCCCAAATTGCAGATTCTAGATAGTTCATGGTGCAAAAGATGACCTGGGGTGATATACTGATAAATATTTCATGTTTTATAAATTTATTTTTACAAGTATCAGAATAGTTATAACTAAGCCAGCCATAGTGGTACACATCTGTCATCTCAGCTACTCAGAGTCACTTGGAAGGCTGAGGCAGGAAGGTCAGTTTAGTGAGACCCTATCTCAAAAGAGAAAATGCAAACAGCTGGGGATATAGCTTGGTGGTAGAGTAATGCCTAGCATATGTGAAGCTCTGGGTTCAACTCCCATTACCACACATACACACACACAAAAGAAAATGTGTTAACTGGCACATAAAACCTATGACTTCACAGAAGTGATGAACCTCGGTAAAAATAAAATGAGGCAATTTAATAACAACAAAAATAAGCAAATAATATATGCAAGATGCTTGGAATATGTATGCGAATGGTCCATTAAGTTTGGGAAGCATTTGATTTTTAGGTATCTGAATCTTTAATACAGTTTATTTAATATTATATTTAAGAATCAAAACCGGATTTATGTTTTACATATTTTCTTCTGTTCTTCAGAGCAGCAGTTTGCCACACACCTGTCCATGTCACAAATTATGTTCAGAAACTTAGGAAAGTAGAACCAGTCTTTGAAGAGTCGGGATCCCAGATGTTTCTTTTCTTTTTCCTTTGCTCCTACTCTTCTCTTACCACCTTTCACCCACCTCTTGGTGGCGTTTCTGAGGAAATGTAATCTGAAAACAGCATAGACAGTTGTGTTAAAATAATACAGCTAGTCTTATAAGCTTTTATTATTTTTGTAGTTGAATATCTGTTTTAGTATCTATTAAATCATTTAACCTCTAGGTGCTAGCTTGTTTTGCAATGCAGCAAGTGATGATCAAGAGCCTGGTTCTCAGCTGAAACAAGATGATACCAAGATTTCCAGTGAGGACATGAATTTTTCTGTTGATATTAATAATGAAGTCACAAGTTCTCCAGATAGTGCATCTTCATTAAAAGCAGTTGATATTCCCAGTTTTGAAGATAGCAACGTTGCTGTGGAAGAATTTAATCAGCCACTTTCTGAATCCAAGTAAGATCTCTGATTCAATATTTTGTCTTATGGTTTTCCTTCTTTTTACATTTCTTTTTTTTAAATTTCATTTTTAATTGACAAATCGTAACCTTTTATATTTATGCTTAGGTTTTTATATGTTTACTGTATAAATGATTACGTTAGACTAATCCACAAATCCATTGTCTCATGTACTTAATATTTTTTTCATGTGATGAAAAGATTTAAAATCAACTCTTTTGACCTTGTTGTTGTTGTAGTAGGGATTGAACCTAGCTCACACATGCAAAGCAGCCACTCTACCACTGAACTATCTCCCCAGCCCTTAAAATCTTCCTTCCTTCCTTCCTTCCTTTTCTTTCTTTCTTTCCTTCCTTCCTTCCTCCCTTCCTTCCTTCCCTTCCTCCCTTTCTTTCTTGCTTCCTTCCTTCCTTCCTTCCTTTCCTTTCTTTCCTTCCTTTCCTTTCTTTCCTTTCTTTCTTTGAGACAAGGTACCGCTGTGTAGTTCAGGCTGGGCTTGAACTCACTATGTAGCCCACGCTGGCCTTTTGGCCAGCCAAGGCTACAAAGTAAATTCAAGCCCAGCCTGAACTGTATAGTGAAACCTTGTCTGAAAAAGCAAAAAAGGAAAGAAAAAAAAAGAGTTGGGAAGTTTTAAAAGGGATTGCATATGGTGATATGTTAAATAGTTCTTTATGTTTAAAATGTTTCATTATAAATTTTTTTATTAAAAAATACAGATTCTGAATTCAGAGCCTCAGCAAATTTTGATATAAATTCAACAAATATTATTTATTAAATACTTGCCACAGAACTAGACTGCAGAGATTAAGCAGTAGGTTAGACAAAGCTCCTAAGTTAACCACATAATCAGCAAAAGTAATTAAATATAGTGATAGCTGTTCTGAATAAAGCAAGCCAGGGTGAGGAAGTGGAGTGTAGCTGGGACAGCAGCATAGGGGTGAGGTGTGTTATACTGAGTAGCATGGTAAAGGTAGCCCTTGCTGCGGGGTGGCATTGGAGGAGCCCTTCATGAGCCAGCCACCCGCTTTGGGAAGGGCTGCCGGTATAGAATATGGCAAGTTTAACACGTGAGGTGTGCATGAGCTTGACAGTCTCAGAAAGAAGTAGAAAAACTGGTATAGCTGGGCATAGTAACTCGGAGGGAAAGTGGAGGAAATGAAGTCAGAGATGGATGCAGGGGCCGAATCACATAGGGCTTAGGATATGGACAGGAGTTTTGGGTTCATCCATGTTCATTAAAACAAGAGAAAGATTTTAGACAGTGGTGTAATATGATCTGATGTTCATTTTTTGAAGCCCCTCCTAGTTTTATGGTTAAGAGAGGATGTAGGGAGACTAGTTGGTGGACTAAAAAGAAATGAGAGAAGGGTACCTTGGATGTGGGGCGGCTCTCATGGCATATACCAGATGTAGGCTATGTGTTGAAGGTAAAAGAATAATTAGGTTTAAAATCCCTTGGGTAATAGCCCATTAAATAGTTATAAGAGGTGAACTTGCCCGTGAAGTGGCATTGGGCAGGCAGTGGGTTTTTTTTTTAATCATAAGCTTTGTGATAATATTTGACATTTTAAATTATTATGATAATAACTGGGCATGGTGGCACACACCTGTAATCCCAGCACCATGGGAGCCGGAAGCAGAAGGACTGTGAGTTCAAGCTCAGTGTGGGCAACTTAGCAAGACCCTGTCCCAAAATAAAATAAAAAGCTGGGCATGGTGGCGCACACCTGTAATCCCAGCACTCAGTAGTCTGGGGCAGGAGGATCACTGCGAGTTTGAGACCAGCCTGGACTACATAGTAAGACCCTGTCTGGGGGTGGGGTGGGGACGAATGAAAAGAGAGCTAGAGATATAGCTCAGTGTAAAGGCCCTGGATTCAATGGCCAGTACCACAAGGAAGAAAATATTGTTTATAATACTGGTTAAAACAGTAAATATACCTCTTTAGAAAACTACAGAGACTTTCTTTCAGTATAGTATATATTTTAATCATATAATTAAGTATTCATATGTGCCGCAGAATATTGAAAAGGTCTTTTATGTACCTCTCCCTGGCTAGAGTAGGTTTCTACAGGCTCATGATCATAATCATTTCTATGTCTTTAGAACTAGACTTAATGTCTGCTTCCCATGTTAACTTCTCGATAAATGTTCATTGACTGGAAGAACAATTTAGGGTGAATCTCAAGAAAGGCCCACATTTTATTTGGAATAATTATGGAAACTGAGGACAAAGAAGAATGAGCCATGTTGATCCTTATATATCCTCCTTGACTTGATTTTATAATCTGAACAGTATTTTCTAGAATTATGGAGATTTTCGAGTTACAATTTTAAAAATCTCTGATGCTTTTGTGGTTTTTAATTTCAGAAACATTTGAGTTAACTAGTAGAATAAAATTAATTGCATCTTCAAAGCAATCAATCAACTTTATTGATTCCAACACATAACAAGATGTAAATTTAGTCTTTTGTTCAGTATAATGTGTTGGTTCAGATTAAATGCCGTCTCCACTGTTGCCTGTGGCGCATTTGATGCTTCTCCAGGCTCCTCTAAGACATCTGCCCGGATTCATGCTGGGTTCCCACTGCCAAGTATTTATAGATGTCACTAGCTGCTGGGCTCCCAGCCCCGCTTGGAGGTCTTGCTGGATAAGTCTTTCCGATGTTGAAGCAGTCTGTGAAAGATAAGTTTGTCTTGCAGCTTAAAGTGATTATTGATTGTGTTTTCCCAGTGGAGAGTAATGGTATGGGGACTTACAGAGACTTTCTTTTAAAATGATTTTTTTAGAAGCCATGTTTTAGACATACCTAATAATACGTCACATATTAGAATTATTCTTAAAACTTTCTTAATCTTTTGAGGTTTAAAAGCTTTAATGTTCTGGTTCTTTCTACCTTTCATTTTTTGTTGGTAGCTTAAACACCAAGACATATATTTTCAAATCCTTGAGCACACGGTATAGCAGAGTGACTAAGAGCAGGGGCTCTGGTGTCAGACTGCCGGGATTTGAATTAGGGCAGTATGGTCTTGGACTTAGCTCATGATCTCTTGGAGATTCTGTTTTCTCATCTATAAAATAGTAAAAAGTACCTATTTTATAAGACTTGAGAATTACATGACAGTGTACATAAAGCAATTAGAACAGTGCCTTTATACCTAATTATCATTACCATTTAGCTAAAGATAGGATAAGACAAGCTTGATAATTCACATATATCTCTTTAAAAATAAAGTACTTGTAAATATTTGGGTAATAAAACCATAAAAATCTCTTTAAAAAGCCATAAAATCTCAAAAGGTTGAATTTCTGCTTCTGAATTTGGAAGTTATGACTGCGCATGGTGATGCACACCCGTAATCCCAGCACTCAGAAGGCTGAGGGAGGAGGATCACCACAAGTTTGAGGCCAGCCTGGGCTAGTGATTTCAAAGCCAGCCTGAACTACATAGCAAGACCCTATCTCAAAAAAAAAAGCCAAAAAAAATTTAAAAAGAACAGCTAATGAAATAGAAAGATACTCATAATATTAGGTTTTGAAATAGCTTCCAAAACTATCTATAATTTGTACTATAATATGGTACAGTTTTTCAGAGAAAACACATATAATCTATAGAAAAACTTAGATGGAGATCCTCTAAAATGTTAACAATGGTGCCAGGCATGGTGGCGCACGCCTGTAATCCCAGCACTTGGGAGGCTGAGGCTGGAGGATCACTATGAGTTCAAGGCCAGCCTGAACTACATAAAAAAAAGCCTGTCTCAAAAAAATAAGTTAACAGTGGTTCTTCCTGGATATTAAATTGTCTTTGTCTTTTATTTTCTCCAGTTGTGGTGTAACTTGGTGTAGGTAATATCTTACCTCTCTGTGCTTGTCTTTATCTGTCAAGTGTAGGTAATATATAGATAGTATCTACCTTATAGGTTTTTTTGGTGAGGATTACATAAGTTGACATACTTGAAACTATACCTGGCCCATAATAAGGCTTCTACTGACTAATTATTATTATTACTTTTCTGTATTTTCTACAATTATCATAGATTACTGTTCTAACAAGAAATATATATTTTAATACTACTTTCCCTAATTAAAAATGTTTTAATTTTGGGGCCAGGGATATAGCTCAGTGGCACAAGCGCCTGCCTGGCAAGTGCAAGTTCATGAGTTCAATTCCCAGTACCAAAAAAAAAAAAAATTTTGAAAGTAATAAATGCTCATTGTATATAATATGATTATAAATGGCAGTTTATGAACTTTGACAAAGATCTTAACTATTCCTTTAAAACTTGAAATGAACAGATAATATATTTTAAACTTTTAAATACTCTAAAAGTTTTCACTGTATCAGGTCTAGGAGAAATCAACAGATTGCTTTCCAGCTTGCAAAGAAACTTTTATTGAATATTTTATAAAGGTATTATGGTCCAGTATGCAGCCTATCAAAGTGGTATGTTTGGCTGGGCATGGTAATGCACACCTGTCACCCCAGCATTTAGGAGGGAGGCTGAGGCAGGAGGATTATCTCAAGTTCAAGGACAGCCTGAACTATGGTGAGACTCTGTCTCAAAAAAAAAATGGTAGTTTAGTACATCACTAAGAACCAAAAATATAAACCAGAGGCTGCTCAAGTCTTATCTCTTTATACCAAATTAATACATTTCAAGTATATAGTAAAGGTACCAGGTGTGTAACTCCAGTTAAAAGAAGCCTGAAACAAGAGGATCGAAAGTTTGAGGCCATAGGGCTGCGGATGTAGCTCAGTGGCATAAGCCCTTGCCTGGCAAGCCTGAGGTCATGAGTTCAATTCCTGGTACCAAAAAAAAAAAAAGAAAAGAAATGTTGAGGCCAGCCTGGGCAATAAGACCTGAGCAAAATCCTCAAAAGAAAAAATACATGCATGTGCTTTTGTGTTTGTATTTTAAAAGTACCTGATAACTATCTATTTACCTTATATATCTTTTCAAGCAGCTCTTCAGATGGGAGAAAAGAACCCAATGCGCCTATGTTCTTTCCAAGTGCTGTGCTGGCAGAGAGTGTGAGCATGTGCTTACAGCCTGGGCCAGCAGAGGGCACCAGCAGCAACACTGCGACGTCAGGAGAACCAATGCTTGACCACGTCGTACAATCCTTACCTCATGAAACGCCAGACAGCCAGAAACTTTACCGGGATTTACTGGTAAGAAGATATAAAGCATTTTACCTTTTATGCGAAGGTTCTTTAATACAAGAAGTGCTAAAGTTTCCCTAGATTTAAAATGTTTGGGAACTTGAAATAAAAAGATATTTGCTTAGTTAACAGTATGTCATTGATTTCTTTTATCTTTCCATATATTATAACTCAAATCTAGAAATTTACGGTAAGCATGCCAATCATCAGGTACTTAGCCAGAAAAAAAACAGCCTGTTTTTAAAATATGAGTGTTCATTTTAGACTAAATTCATACTAAAGTTAGTGCAGGGGGTAGGAGCAAGAGTTTGAAAGAATTTGAACACTGGAAAGTAGTGGAATGTTTCTGGTAATATTTACTGATTTCTGTTCAGGTGAGCAGATGTTTACTAGCTATTAAACTGAGTCTAAGAAGGAGGACTAAGTAAAGTGGATAATAAAAGAAGAAAATGAAAGTCTTACATCTTTAAGAACATAGGGGAAATAGTGACACAAGGACACCAGTAACAATTACGCAGCAGGTTGAGAAGTGGTATGAAACAAAGGGAGAACAGAATGAGTTGGAGTATTTATGGTTGAAGGACCTAATGTTCTTGGGATATTTAGGTTAGAATGTGATACTTAGGTCAGAACGAGACTTAAAGATTCGAATGACCTTACATCCATCCAGTTACAGACCTGTAACACTGGTTTTGCTGTTTGCTGTTTGGCTGATGGCTGGTTAAATGTGCCCCAGTGAGGTCCTGTGTATTCGTCAGTGAACACATGCTTGTTATTTGCCTGCTAGGTCCTAGTCTGGTGCCAGCCCCGCATGCCCTCATGTCAGGAAGGCAGAGTGGGTGTCACAGGTCATTCCTGTTTTCAGAAAGTGAAAAAGAAAAAAACCTAATTCTGAAAGTAGCATAAAGGGCGAATGTATAACTCTGACACGTATTGCCATTTTTTTTGTTGTTGTTGTTGTTTTCTCTGGTGCCGGGAATCGAACTCACGGCCTTGCACTTGCCAGGCAGGCACTGTGCCACTGTGCTAAATCCCCAGGCCCCGTATTGCCATTTTGAAATGAAACTATGATTAAAACTTGTTTATAAAGAATTTGGCAGAAATCTCTGAGAACACTTGGAAGATTACTCATATGATTTTAAATGCGTTCCTTTTTAAATGAATAGGTTCTGGACAAAAGATCTGTTTCCTTGTAGGTTCTGATGAAATTATTAGGATAGGAGATATATATATATATTAATATATAATTATATATTGTATATTACATATAATCGATATATAATGTATATATTATGTGTGTGTCTATAATACTTGGAGATGTATTGGATATTTTGTGGAATTTGAGAAGATAATAAAGCTGTTAATGGTGATTTTTAAATATGATCTTTTATTTTCTCTTTTTTTTTTTGATCTTTTATTTTCATCAGGGCCAAGTAAACCACCTGTTAAGTAACTCTTTGAAGGAAACTGAGCAACCATCTACCAAAGCAGTAGTTATCAGCCATGAATGTACCAGAACCGAAAATGTTTACCATACAAAGAAAAAAAAACACAGTCCAAGGCTGGTGGAGAAAGACTGTGTTCTTAACGCGACACTTAAGCAACTAAGAAACCTGGGAGTAAAAATTGATTCTCCTACTAAAGTGAAGAAAAATGCACACAAAGTAGACCATGCCAGGTAGTTTTTCAAAGTTTATTTTAAAAGATGAATAAGTTTTATATTGATGATATCTATTAAATTCTGTATGACAGCAGTCTCATGAGAGAAAGTGTAAGTTTGTGTACCTCAATTCATCTTTAGGTTTTAGAATCTTAATTTTAGGAGGAGGAGGAGTTACATAGATAAATAATTTGAGAGATATTCTGAGATGTTGCCTGGGTAGTGATGCCAAGAAATAGTTTGGGAAAGAGAAGTGGGTTTTGGGGGCATTGTCCGAAGTCTTCCTGGAGCAATAGGCCGATATCATAGCTACCACATATACAGTTTATCTGCAAAAGCCTGTCTTTCTGCAAGTGTTTGACTGACATGTCCTGCTCTTCAGATTCCTCTTTATCAAAGATGACTTCAATATATCCCCATTCAAAAGAGGATAAAATCTGGAATTAGGCTATTATTTGTTTGCTTGTCTGACTTACTTCTTTTTTTCTTTTTTAAAAAAATATTAGTAGATGTTTGTACTACATAATTGGAACTATATTATTAAAGATAGCATGTTTTCTGTTAATTACTTTCTGTTATTACAAAACTAAAATTTCCCAATTTAAAAAACAAGTCAGCTGGGCATGGTAGCACATGCTTGTAATCCCAGCTACTTGGGAGGCTGAGACGGAAGGATTGCAGTTTCAAGGCTCTCAAAATAAAATTTAAACTATAAAAGTTCCTACACCCCCAAATTCTTCAACTTGACTCTTTCAGGGTTATTTCTCTTAGTCCCTCCCCCTCCTGTCCTTCTCCTCCCTGCCCCCCCATAGTCAAATTGTTTTAATCAAGATTGTTTTGCCCTAATTTAAATAAGTGTGTATTATAAATTATATTATAAAAAAATACATGCTCATGTTTAAACTTTTAGAAAGTGAAAAAAATGTCATTTGAACTAATAACATGCAGAGAAAATCAACTTAAGAAACATAGCTGTAGTTTTAGTATATATACAATTTTGTTCCTTAATATAAAACAGGTAAGTCATTTATGTATGAGATGAAAAATTCATATAGACAGGATTTTAGTTCCATGTAAGATAATTTTCTCAAAAAAGTAAAAAAAAAAAAGCTAGGCATGGTAGCACATGTCTGTAGTCCCAGCACTCAGGAGGCCGAGGCAAGAAGGTCACTGTGAGTTTAAGGCTATCCTGAGCTATGTAGCAAGACACTGTCTCAAAAACAAGATAAAGACAAAATGAAAACTAAACAGTTCAAAATATACAGTATAAACAATGTATTAAGTACATATTTGTATATCTTTTTATGAATAGCTTTTTAAATTTTATAATATAGTATAAACTATCACAAAATATTATAGCACTTTGGAAATGGTTTGATATTTGTTTTGTTTCTAAGTAATGTAAGCTTAGTTTAAAAATGGAAAATTTAGAATAGACAAAAAAGCTATATTCCTACCAATCAAACTCAGCTATTAAATTTTTGTTTTTATATTTTCATTCAGTCTTTTTCTGAAATAATTTTAACAGCAACCATTTATTGAGGCTCCTGTGCCCAGAACAATTATAGTTTTATGCAAAATTATTTTACTTAATCTTTAAAATAATCCAGGTAGTAGATTGTTTCATATTGTTTCACAATTTTTCTTGAATTCAGTTTTGTAGTACTGTATACTGTCCTGCCAAGTTCGCCTTGTACCCTCTTTGGTATTTGCAAGGTTTCTTGCCATTGCTTTTGTTTTTGTTTTTTTCTACTGTTCAGAATCTTTTTATCATTTTTCTTTTTGGTACTGGGGACTAAACCCACGGCCTTTGTGCTGAACTACATCCCTGAGCTACATAATTATTTTTTATTTTGTAACAAGGTCTTGCTGGGTTGCCCAAACCAGGCTGCTACCAGGCAGGTTTCAACTGCAGTGACCCTCTTGACTTCAAAATAGGTCTTAAGCAGCCCTGTAATTAATTGTTTCCTCCTCTTGCTACCTGCTGTCTTTTTATTATAGGAAAAACCTGTATAGACTATGTAGGCAATAACTAGTCTAAATTCAAACAGGACAGTAAATGAAGGTTGACCTCCATCTTTAAATAGGTTGGAATAATTTTTAAGATTCCCTTAATTTTTGGCATCTAAATCTTATTTAAACTTATTCATGGATTTTCATCATCTTTTCATGACTGCACATCTGCTGAGATTGTAACAGTGTTTTATGCTCGAGACTTATAGGATTTGATTAGTGGAATGGCCTCCTCTGGCTTTTCATCTTAATCAACCTGGTGTTCATATGTGTTGGTTCTGAATACTGTTGGTTTGTTTCCCTTTCAAAGTAATTGTGTCCCATACTTCCCAAATTGAAATTAGCTGTATTAGTAGAACCTACTGTATTTGTGACCTTGTGTTATCTTTTTAGCACATACAGGAATGGATTACAAGGAATACTTTCCTGGCACCTAATCTATAACTTGTGACACTGTTTCTGTAAAAAAAACATGTCATATGTTCTAAACAATAGCCTTATGAACTTTTGGCACATTAATTATATAGAAGGTTAGAACAGCCTTCTAAATTGATATTGAGTCCTTCATTCAGTCCTTTAACCATTCTCCAAGAAATCAAATTAAAAATTAGGTCTACTTTTTCTAAACATTTAACATTTTGTGTAAGTGTTCATTTTCTTTTATCAGATCAATTACTTTAAAATCAACAAACGTGACACTTATATGTATTTTAGCATGTACAGGATTTCTGATTTAATATGCATATTGCTTATAATTTTGTGGAAATAGCCAAAGAAAATAGAAAAAGACTATAGTCAGAAGACATTATCACTGAATATATCATAAAAATAGTGTCTAGGTAAATTGGTAGTTTTTCTTCCATGGTATTAAAATGCTGAAGAAGCATTAAGAACCAATGAGGGAGAATTCCAAGCTAGTAAAATGAACAGCATTATTGAGCACAGTTCATTGTTCGGTGATCAGATGTCACTGATTTTGGGGAATATTAATAGTTGGAAATGGCTTCTTCCAAACTCTAGATACATTATGAGAAAGAAAATGCGTGGTCGTTTATTTGCTTTTTGTGGGGCTGTGGCTGTAAGCATTGGCTGGCACATATAAAACAGCCGAATTTCTTCTTGTGATGATGTGAAAGTCATAGTGTATTCTTCGACTAGAATATAACGTTGCCATAACAAACACAGCAAAGGACCCTGGCGGCAAGTGCGAGGTGCTAACACACAGCAGTAAGTCAGTGGTTACAGAGCCCCAGGGTGTAGCAGACGCAGGTTTCAGTCTCAGCTTTTTACTTACCAACTGTTCAACTTTGAAGAAATTGGTCAAAATCTATTCTTCAGTTCCTTTGACTGAACATAAAAGTAATAATAGTACCCCTAGAATTGATTCCGTAAATAGTGCGTGCCCATTATGTGCCAGCACTGTTGTGGGAACTGACAGTATTCCAGTGGGGAAAACCAGACCCGAATGCTGTCCTTTTTTGCTTTCACGAGGGAACAGCACACAAGACGTGTCTGTTGAGATAGTGATAAATGCTAAGGAAAAGCAAAAAAAACAGGAGAAAGGAGATATAAGGTGTTGAATTGGAGAATGAGGTTAAAATGGATACGGAATACCTCCCTGAGAAAGATTGCTATAAGCAATAAATAAGAATGCATGCAAAGTGCATGTAAGGCCTCATTAACAAATTATGATTGTATGCGTGATATAAAGAAAAAGGCAAGTCAGTTAGCATTGACAACAAGTGCATTGAAGACTATGTCTAATTAGCTAGGTATGGTGGTCCACACCTGTAATACCAGTCTGCAGGACGTTGAGGCAGGGGAATGCAAGTTGGAGGCCAGCCTGAGCTACATACCAAGTTCAAGACTGGCCTAAACTATACACTGAGCCCGTTTCTTTTAAAAAAAAAAAAAAAAAAGTGTGCTGGGTCTGGTGGCACACTCCTGTAATCCCAGCACTTGGGCAGATGAGGCAAGAGGATTTGCCCCAAGTTTGAGCCCTGCCTGATCTACATAGCTAAACCCTATCTCAAAAAAAAAAGTGTCTGTGTGTAAGCAAACCTATATCTGGGGGCTAGTTGATGATTTTGTTCATTGCAAATGAAATTTCTTCAGCTATGAACAATTTAATTTTCAGGACTGCTTACTAAAACTTGTATTTTTATATCAGATGTGTTTTGTATTTGATTTTACTTTTACTTTACATTGAATATTAGCTAATCTCATGCTATTTGCGGTTAATAATTGAAAATTGAATGACTGCTACATCTGGAGGCTTATTTTGTTCTTAAAACCATGACTAATACATAAATTTAGAATAATCAATTTGAGTTCCACTTTCAAGCTATGGGTTATGAATTACCTTCTAGATTATTATATGTATCCCTTGAGTGTATGTCTAGATCATATTTAGTACTCAGATAAAAAGTCACAGGAGCATAAGGCTGAAATCTTTTGTCACTTCCATAGACTGGAACACATTTAGAATGATTAAGGTAAATGATAGTTTACTCTTTTGTGTCTTTTAGTGTGTTGGCATGCATCAGCCCAGAAGCAGTGATCTCTGGATTAAACTACATGTCATTTGCTAATGTTGGCATGAGTGGTTTAAGCCCCACTGGCGTGGATTTGAGCATGGAAGCAAATGCTATAGCTCTGAAATATTTAAATGAAAATCAGCTGTCACAACTCTCTCTCACTCGATCAAACCAAAATAACGGTGACTCATCTTTTAGCCTTCTGCATATTAATACAGACAAAAGCACAATGGGGCTTAACTTGATTTCACCAAGCAACATGTCATTTGCAACTAAAAAATACATGCAGAGATATGGACTCATACAGAGCAGCGACAACAGTGAGGATGAAGAGGAGCCTCCCAGCCATGCAGATCGCAAGAGCGACCGTTTATTGAATCAGAACTCTACACCTATATCTGCACAGCTTGGTTGTCAGAAAGAACCTTCTGGGAACACCTGTGAAATAATTAGTTCGTACAGCTGTGAATCTGTGGACACACACAGAGAGATGCCAGTATTGAGAAATATTACAAATGAAGTTGTGCAGTCAAAAGCAACGCAGAAGTTAAATGAAAACCCATCTTTATTAAAGAACCTTAAACCAAGTCCTGCAGTGAACCTCCGAACTGGAAAAGCAGAGTTTACTCAACATCCGGAGAAAGAAAATGAAAGGGGCGTTGCGATTTTTCCTGAGAGTTTACAACCTTCTGAAACGTTAAAGCAAATGAATAGTATGAACTCAGTAGGTACCTTTTTAGATGTAAAGCGTCTCAGACAGTTGCCCAAATTATTTTAAGCCTTAACCCCGTCCTTTCTGATACAGGTCTGGGTGTGTCCTGAAGGTACTTACAAAAGCCTGGGCCTTTTTGGGAGTCAGTCAGCTGCTTGGTATCAGCCAGTTACAGAGAGCTGCACTAGTGACTTGTCTGAGCTGGCAGCTAGTGGGAAGGCCCGCTTGCTCAAATAGAGCTTTTCAGCATCACTGAAACCGTAAGAAAAAAACTAAGATCAGCTATTTCAACAAATTTAGGTAAACAGACACTGTTCAAACTGACTGAACTGCTATTTTATGCTATGTATTTCACAAAGTCCATTTTTCTAGCACATAGTATCTCTGCATCTACCCAGTATCAGTAAAAGCACATAGAGCTATTGTGACTCAAGCTGAATTAGCAAAACGAGCCTTTCTTGAGTTTAAAGAGAAAGTTATTTTTATAAATAACTCAAGGTTTTTTATACAAGAAATATAGTTCCTTTTAATTAAGATGCACTGTTGGTTAAATTGTGGAAGACTTTTGCAATTTGTTGGGTTGATGTTTAGCACCTTTAACATATAGCACTAGCTATCACAATAAGAAAATTACTGAATATCAGTGTTTTATAGACTTTGTGATTTTCAAACATCTTAATATTTTTAATAGGGCTTAATAAAAATGTCTGGACTATTTTCCTTTGTCCTCTACTAATAGTTGATCCTTCTCTACTTTTTTTTTACTTCTGCAAAGATACAAAAATAAAACAGAGGTATATCCTTTACCCATTGCTCCCCACCACAGTATCATCTTACACAATGATAATAAATTACCAAAACCAGGAAATTGGCATGGGGTTCAGTACTAATAACTAAACCACAGACCTTTCAGATTTCATTAAGTGGGGGTGGGATGGGGTGCTGTGGATCAAACCTAGGTTCTTGCGAGTGCCAAGCGCGTGTTCTACACTGAGCTATACCCTAGGCCACAAGTTCTCATACACACTCGTTTATTGACTTTTTGGTGTACATCTCTATTGTATAATTTACAGATTCATATAAACTATTGCTACCCTTTTGAAACATACCCTTTCTTTAGCCTTTATTTCTGACAACCAGTGATCTGTTCCGCCTTTCTAAAACTTTGTCATTTTGAGAATGTTATATAGACAGAACTGTACAGTGTATAACTTTTTGAAACTGGGTTTTCACTGAGCACAATGTCCTGAGATCGCTCCAACTGTTGGGTGTATCAATAAATCTCTCCCCACTACCTCATTACAAAATCTTTCAAATTGTTATTTTTTTTAATATCTATGGAAAAGCTTTCATTCACTTGAGGCAGTAAGGCTTTTGGGTGGAGTTAATATTTGATTGCCTTATGTTGGAGTTTCATGTGTAAATGGAAAGAAATAGACCTCTAAATACTTCTCCAGGGTTGCTGTGGCTTTTTTGAGACAATAACTTAATAAAATAATTTATAGTTAGCAAGCCCATGTATAATAATATGGAGCCAGGGACCATCTAGTGCATCTTTCCCTACATTGTTGCTTTTTCAAGTTTTATAAAATTAAGCCACATAAATGGCCGTGGTGGTGTCTTTACCTGTGTTTCCATTTGCATTGTTTATAGCTTTAGTCACTTTAATAATAGCACAAAATACTTGCACATTTCGTGGGCCTAAAACAAAGACCGCGCTTGTTGATACTGTTTCAAGTGTTCTTTGTTTTAACCAGCCCTCAGTGTTGAAATCCAGAAAGTGAATATGGTGAGTACCCTTTATGTAGCACATTATTGAAAAGAACAAAGAACGTTAGTAAACTAACCAATAGCTTCATCAGTCGTGTTTGTGCTGGGAATCCTGTAAGTTTCATACTAATCAAGAAGCTCTACCTAAGGAATAAAAACTAAACCAAGGTTTTTTAGGCAAAATTTTATCCAATCACTTGTCACATCTAATTTAAGGCTTCTGATAAGTCATTAAAGCAGTTTTGGAGACTGAATTTAGATTGCAGATTGTTAAGAGAGAAGAGAGAACATCGATATAAAGCCTGCTCTGGAAAGTTGTCTAAGAATAGTGTTTTAATGTGAGAAGTTAGTTGCTCTGCTAGCCTTTAGGCATCTTTGGAAAAAAAGCATTAGTACTGGGAAAATTGGGTTAAAAAGATATTTGCCTCAAGTGGCATTTCTCTGAATTTCTGTCATTCAGTCCCACAGGGTAGTGTTTATAAGATACATGAGTACTGCTTCAAGTGGAACAGGAAGTGATGAGCTTCTATCCAGCTTCTGGGAAATAAAACCATTAGTCTGGGTCCTGGTCAAATGACAGCCACCCCCACCCTTCACATCTCTCACACTCCCTGCCCTGTGCTAAGTCCCCCATGAGAGGATGTAGATGTATTAGATGAACCTCACAAAGGTTTTGAAGATTCTATAGAAAACGTTGCAACAGTTTTGAGGATGTAAAATGAAAAGCCCAAATGAGTGATCCAGAATCTAAGGAACCACAGCAATGAATCAAGACAGCTTACATCTTTTCAGGATTTAGAATGCAGAGCATTTCACATGCAATAGTTCCCTTAAGCCCCCTGGCTGACTGCTGGTGATACCCTTACTGAAAAAGAAACAGCCTCAGGGAAGAAATTTACCCACAGAAGTTGTTTCTAGAGACTCAAGATCAAATATGATTCCAGAGTACAGGGCCTTGAGCCACTAAGAAAGTCTCTGAGGCTGGAGGAATCCAGGAAGAGCATCCTGAAGAATACATCCGGAACTGAAGGGATGATTTCTTTCTTTTTTTCTTTTTTTTGGTACTGGGAATCAAACTCATGACCTCAGGCTTGCCAGGCAAGCGCTTATGCCGCTGAGCTATGTCCCCAGCCCGAGATGATTTGAAGTACTACTATGTTGTCTTTAAATACTGCATTGTCCTCCAGCTGCCTCACTTTTTTTGTTCAGGAGGGAATCTTGCCTTTCAACTAAGAGCAGAAACTCTTATTCTCTCCTGCGGCCTGAAGGAGGCAACCTCAGCTCTGTTAAGGATAAAGGGTTCCCGTCAGTGGCTACAGAGCGGCAAGCTAGTGCTGAATCTACTTAAGAGCTCCCGGAAATTAGAGGAACAAAGTCTCTGCCCTGTTTTCTAGGAATGCCTCACAAGGAGGCTTTTGTGTTCTCACAAGGGCAGGACGTTTCCTAGCCTCCTAGATTAACTGAGAGACCTTTATAAATCACATGGTAATGTTTTGCACTTGCAGATTGCTTCACACTTTTCAAAAACCCTACTGAGATACTTATGGCAGGCATAATTAACTCCTCTCTACAGATGATGAAACAGACACAAAGTAAAACTGGGGCAAAGTCACACACATAATTAATTAACAACCAAGATAACCACCAGCCTAGTGTCCCTCCACAACCTCTCCTGATAGTGGCAGCGCGCTCTACATACATTCCCTCCACACGAGCACCCTTCTTACACCTAGTTACTCAGGTGTCCCATGTTGATCCTCTGGGCACTGAGCTGGACACGGCATAAATGAAAGACAAGATGACCGTGCCTTGTGGGAAGTCTAATGAGAGAGGGACACGCAACACTAGCAAGAGAGGCAGCGCTTATGCCGAAGATGTGAGAATATAGCAAGGAAAGCCAGGAGAACAGTTACTCTAAGAAGGATGGTGATATTTTTCCAGATCAAGAGCAATAGGAAAGAGGAGGGGATGTTTCTGAAGAGGGAACAACCTTAGTGCAGGCATGCAGATGTGAACAGGTATAGCACTGGGAGGGAGTTTGGGGCAGGGGACCAAGGGTAAGAAAGAGAACAGCAGAAAGAATACTGAATTAGGAATCAGTAGCAATTAGAGTTCTGTTGTAGTTCTGTCCTAACCTCTGGGGCACTGGACAAATCCCATCTTTAACTTCCCAAATTCAGCTTATTTTGTTGGTTTGGTTTGGTTTTGCAGTACTGGGAACTGAACCCAGAGGTGTTCTACCATCCCAGCCCTTTTTATTTTTTATTTTGAGACAGTTTCACTTGCCCAGGTCTGTCTCAAACTTGCAATCCTCTTGCCTCAGCTTCCCAAGTACCTGGGATTATAGGAGTGTGTCACGATACCTGGCTGGTTTCCTGGTTTTTGTTGTGAAGGGTTACCCAGTGCATCTCTGATAAGTGATTGCATGAAATGATAGTTCTAGAAAGAACTGTTGAGCATACATAAGGCCCAGCATTCAGTGTCCAGTACCACATACAAAAAAACAATAGTGGCAACAAAAAAAGATGTGAAAGTCTAGAGGAAAGAAAGGCTTGCTGCAAGAGAGAACTTTAGAGTTGGGCCTTAAACATCTTGAAAGATTTTTACAGGTATAGGTGAAGAAAAGATTTCCCTACTTTTAAAATAATGTTTGGCATACTTAACTGAAAGAGAAGGAGAATTACATTCTTGTCACCAAACTGTTGAATAATCAATCCTGTCTGTTTGAAGGGATACCAGTATGTCTTTCTCCAGCTCTTAATTATATATTCCCTGCTTTTAAGGAGCTCAAATCTGAGTGGAAGAAAAACATAAAACCTATGCGAAGGTTGGAGGCCTGTTGAGGCCTGGGCGATTCTCCCTATCTCTTCCTTCCACTCCCCTAACCTGAACTGTCTGGGTCGCAGAGAACATCCTCAGAGGAAATCCTGCTTCCCCATTTCCTGGTTGGAGGCTGAGCTCCAGGAAAAGGATGGATTTGGGGAAAGCTCTGCGTCCTGTTTCTTCACGGGAGGCCTGGGGCCACCTGGGCAGGGGGTGCTAATTAAAAACACAAGTAAAAAAGATGACATCAGGTATCTAAGGATGTCAGAGCTGCAGGGCCTGAGAAATCACTTGGTCCTCATTATATACACGAAGACACAAGCCAAAGAAGAGAAGAGATTTGCTCCAATTCGCACAAGACAGTGTGCATAGAGGCGGAACTGGAACTCAGGCCTCCAGCCTCCGAGGGCATACTGTTACCTGTATGGATCTGAATCAGCAAGTTAGGGATAGAGTAATCCAACCCAGGCCCTCTCTGTTCCCCTGGACATACTACGGTGCAAAGAAAAGGCAACACACACACACACACACACACACACACACACACACACACACACACACAAGTTTCCAGCATTCTTGCCTTTGCTCATATTGCTCCCTTTGCCTCTAAACTCCCCATATGTTCAAAGCCCTATGTACCTTTCAACCCCACCTTGTAATTTTTTATCTTTCTTTGAAATTCCACAGCTGTTGCTCTGGTCCTCTTGTTCCATTTTTGTCTGTTTGTCAGTTTGTCTGTTTGAGACAGGGTCTCACTGTGTAGTACAGGCTGGCGGTGAACTCATGCGACCCTCCTGCCTCAGCCTCCCAAGTGCTGGGATTACAGGTGTGCGCCACCATGCCCAGCTTCTCTGGTCCTCTTTGTCCTTTTTTAAAAAAATTAGCCCTGCAGCTGGGGATTTAGCTCAGCGGCAAAGCGCCTGCCTGGCAAGCGCAAGGTCATGAGTTCGGTTCCCAGTACCGGAGAAAAACCAAAAAAAAAAAAAAAAAAAATTACCCCTACTTGCCAAATTATCCGTTATTTATTTAGAAATCTATAAGTCCCTATATTTAAAATAGACCTAAAATCTTCCTATCAAGCCAACCAATCAAAGTCTATGCTAGATTAGGCAGCCAGTCATTAT